TCGGAGAACAAAAAAATAGATTTATTTGCACTATGCTTATTAATTTGTGCAGTTATTCAGTATCTGGTAAGTTAATGTTCAAGAAAAATGTTCATTTTTATTAAAATGTTATTTTATGTTAATGATTACTCATTTATTTCAGCCCTTTGTATTCAGCATGTCTCTATCGAAATAAACCTTTGTTTCTATGAAAATTGAAACTTTTGGTTTTTTGCGGCCACATAAACTTAAACCTTATTTATTTGTCCCATGTTAGCCTTTGAGTTTGACATGCTTGCCCTGGGGTGTGTGTGAAGCTATAACTTCCTAGTGAAGCAGGCTTATTATCCAATTCAGGTCCCTAGATTATTATGCTTAATAATGTCTGGTTCCCTTTGCTTCCTTTTATTAATATCTGGCTACATATTCTAATACTACTATACATGTAAAGTACTTTCAGAATTGCTAACCCCTATGAGAATTTACCGAGACTACAATGTTTATGTACATTTCTTTTTGTTTTCAGTCTCATTGTATCCAGTAAAAATGTTTTACAAAGTTATTTAGGATAGCTCCTCCCCCCCCTTTTTCATTCAAGTTACATTATACATTTATTTGTAAAAATAGAGTGACTTGTCACAGTCTGCATTCAATGCTCACTCTGTTTGATTTTCTTTTTGTTGGAATAGAGTTAGTTTCTCTCTTGGTGGTGTATAGCTTTGTGGGTTTCGATGAATGCATCACCAAAATATCAAGCAATATAGTTCTATTGTCATAAATATTGCCTGGAGTGACCTGTTATTACTCAATCTCTATTTACTCACCAAGCCCCTGGCATCAGTGATCTATTCTCTTTTATATAATTTAACTGTTATAAAATGTCAAATAGATGGAATGATATAATATGCAGCTTTTTTCAGTTAGCAAAAGTCATTTAAGATTTATTCATATTGTAGTGTGAGGCATTAGTTCATTCCTTCTTATTACTGAACAGGAGGCCCGATGCATAAAATTTGTTCCCCTGGCTGCCGGCACTGGCTTCCTTCTGGCATCCAGGACCAGGACTTCCCTCTGGCCTCCGGCACCCGGGACCTGGGCTTCCCTCGCAGCTCCGGCTTCATCCAGAAGGTTGTCCGGTCTAATTAGCATATTATGCTTTTGTTATTATAGATAGTATTCCATTTATAGGTGCTCCACAATTTGTTTATCCAGTCACCTGTTGTCACCTGATTTGGTGGTTATGGAAAAAGATACTATAAACATTTGTGTTCAAGCTTTTGTGTGAACCTAAGTTTTTAGTTTGCTTGGGTTAATATATTGGAGTGGGTAAGTGTATGTTTACGTTTATAAGATACTAGAGGCCCAGTGCACAAAAATTTGTGCACTGGCGGGGGAGGGGGGGTGGGGGGTGTCCCTCAGCCCCATTTGTGCCCTCTCACAGTCTGGGACCCCTAGGGAGATAACCACCTGCTGGCTTAGGCCCTCTCCCTGGGTGGCAGATGGCAGGCCCTATCCCTCGGTGCCTGCCCCGCCTCCCCGGGTAGCGCACACCGCAGGGCCAGTCTGGGGGTTGGGACGCCGCCCCGGGTCGGGTCGCACACGAGACGCCCGGACGGGCTGGCCGATCGCTGCTGCCTCACCCGGCCGCCCCAGGTCAGGTCGCACATGGGACGCCGGGCGGGTTGGTGGATCACTGCTGCATTGCCCAACCTCCCCGGGTCAGGTCGCACATGGATGCCCGCCGCCCTGGGTTGCAGATAGCAGGCCCGGATGGTGGCAGGACAGCCGGGATGGCGCAGTCCCACCCCACCACCCCGGGTATCAAATAGCAAGCCCAGATCGGGGGGCAGGCAGGATGGCGCTGTCCTGCCCTGCCTGCAGTATGCAAATTAGCCGCCATCTTTGTTGGCGGTTAATTTGCATATCACGCTGATTAGCCAATGGGAGGCGTAGCGAAGGTACGGTCAATTACCATGTTTGTCTATTATTAGATAGGATTGTAATACTATTTACCAAAGTGTATTATTTTGCCTTCCCACCAGCAATGAATGAGAGATCTTGTTTCTCAATGTCCAGTGTTTGTTTTATTTTTTCATTCTAATAGGAGTGGAAAGACCTTGTGGTGTTTTATTTGCATTTCCCTATTTTGCTGATGGAAGTGGGCTTCTTTCACCAGGTCCCAAGGAAGACATTCCAGGGACCCATGTACGGGAGCTTGTGGCATGGTACGATTTATTTTGGGAGGAAATAGAAGGCTGTCGCCAGGTTCCCAGTGTCTCATCTTCATCTGTCCCCCTGTAGGAAAAGTCCAGCCTTGTCTTCAAGCCCAGAACAAAGGCCAGTGTGCAGAGATGCTGTGCCATATTAAAGCTGCGTGGTCTGACATGGGCCCCAGGTGGCTGCTAGGCCCACATAGCTGCTATGAAACAGTGATTTTCAACTGGTGTGCTGCAAGAATGTTTAAAACATTCAGTAATACCCGACTCTTTAGTTTAGTTACATTTAAATAAATATAAATATCAATAATTGTTTTAGGTCAGGTTCTCCATTGTTTTATTTTTACTTTTTATTTTTTAAATATTTTTTATTGATTTTTTACAGAGAGGAAGGGAGAGGGATAGAGAGTTAGAAATATCGATGAGAGAGAAACATCGGTCAGCTGCCTTCTGCACAACCCCCACTGGGAATGTGCCCACAACCAAGGTACATGCCCTTCACTGGAATCGAACCTGGGACCCTTCAGTCCCCAGGCCGACGCTCTATCCACTGAGCCAAACCGGCTAGGGCCATTGTTTTAAATGTAAGTAAAACCAAGAAAGATGAGAAGGCCACAACCTTGGAAGGATTGCCTCCCCTCCCCCCAAAGTGTGACAAGAAGAGGAGGGCAAAAGGACAGAGGTTCAAGCCCAGGTGTTATTGGAGGGGAGCGTGCCTCATCTGCAGTTGCTGCTGGGAGTGGAATTCTTGTGATATCCTGAGAAAAGGAATTTTCTGAGATTCTCATGGGAGGATGCAATATGGTTGAAAGTTTATTTTCATGGAATTATACCCCTGGTTTTCCAGAGTCCCATTTCCTTTAGTCCAGTCATAGAAGTGTAGATGGGGTTCAGTGGGACTAAAATCAGAGCCAGTGTCCAGAGTTTCCTTTCCATGTTGGAGTCAGGACCAGTCCGGCCTCAGGCTAGTTACAGTTCATTATCCATTGCATGGAGGGGTCCCTATGGCCGTGGGCTATAAGGGTAAATACCAGGAAGCCAAGAGCAAGCCAGGAGCACATGAACAATGAGTCCCATGAGCACAAGAGAGCAAATGTTTTTGTTTAGGGGATGATGTATCCCCAAATTTCCATGTGCTTGCAGTGGCCACGCCCATTCCAGCCAGTGACCTCTGTTTCCAGGTGTGACTGACAGCGTCTTCCTAGTCTCTCCAACTTTACTGGGCATGCATCCATCTCCTCTTTGTTGGATTCCTGGGGAGTGTGAAACTGCAGTTTCCTGGCTAAGTTGCCCAAATAACATGCATTGAGATGAAGCCAATTTATTAAAAAATTAAAGCATGCAAGTTTATTAAAGAAGCAAGGCAAGCAAATCATAATACGCTGTTGGGCTCTCTGCTAATACATTTTTATTGATTTCAGAGAGGAAGGGAGAGAGAGAGAGAAACATCAATGATGAGAATCATTGATTGGCTGCCTCCTGCACACCCCCTATTGGGGATCAAGACCCCAACCCAGGCATGTGCCCTGACAGAGAATTGAATCATAACCTCCTGGTTCATAGGTCTACACTCAACCACTGAGCCACACTGGCTGGGCCAGGCTTTATTCTTTTTTTGTTGTTAATCCTCATCCAAGGATATTTTTCCATTGATTTTTAGAGAGAGTGACAGGGAGAGGGAGAAACAGAGAGAAACATCGATATGAAAGAGATTGGTTGCCTCCCGCACCAGTCCCAACTGGGGGTGAGGGGTGGAGGTGGGAGGGACCAGGCATGGAGCCTGCAACCGAGGTGCCTGACGTGCGTGACCTTGACAGGAATTGAACCCTTGACCCTTCAGTCCTTGGGCTAATGCTCTATTCACTGAGATAGGGTGAGCCAGGCTTTATTCTTAATAGATTTTCTAGTTATTGGATTGTCCTTGGAAAGTACTAATTAAATTTTATTTGTTGTTTATCCTCAGTTGAGGCTATTTTCCATTGATTTTTAGAGAGAGTGGAAGGGAGGGGAAAAGACAGAGAGAAACATCAAGATGAAAGAGACACATTGATTGGTTGCCTCCACGGGAGGCCCAACCAGACCTGCATATCAAGCATGCCCCACGCTGGGGATCGAGCCCGCAACCCTGGCGTGTGCCCTTGACCAGAATTGAACCCAGGACCCTTCAGTCCATGGCCAATGCTCTATCCATTGAGCAAAACTGGCTAGGGCAGTACTAATTTTTATTTGTTGATTGAGAAGCCTGAGGAAGTTAGAAATGTATTTGCTCTCACAGCAGGTTGAAATAAAGAGCAATTCTAAAGGCATTAAGGTTCCTCTTAAAACTCTATCAAGATGGAATGCTCATCAGAGCTGAGTACAATATGGGTAACAGTATTTTACCATGGAATATCAGAAGGTTTATATACTTTATTCTTAAGATACAAGCAATCACTAAATAACATCACACTAGGTGATCATTAGTGTTTAACAGACAAATCAGAATGAAGCATCTTAAAAAGTTGAACCTCATTGAAAGTCATCACTAAAAAGGGGAAGTAAGGTGGCAGGATTTAGATTGGAGCAGCATTTAAAATTATATGAAGTATGGGCAATAAATTAGTTTTATTAGTAATATAGTACTAGTAAAGTAAATTACTAGTAATGTAGTTGGTGCAGTTGGGTATTGTGACTTTTTTGTGTTATTAGGTTACCTTAGTTAAGTATGACATAAAGATGGTATTTTATCATGAGATAGTGAAAAACTATAAAATGATATAGGGAAAACTTGCCATTGACTTGGAAAATTAATAATGTGGATAGGGATCCATTAACAATTCAACTTTATTTAGACGCTGTTTATTTTGTATATTCACTGCTACATTCTATCAGGAAATTTCTTGATGTTATGAAAAATCATCAAGTAAAATACATTTATTTGAAAAAAATTCTAACGTTTAGTCTTTTTGCATGTAAATATACTACGCAAAATAAGTATATAGCACAAACTACCCCACCACAAATTGCTGTTTGCACCATTTCTGAAACACATACCAAATACAAAAGTGCCTTTACATTGGTTGTAGTGCTTTTAGCTCTAAGGAGCAGAACAAGGTAACATTGTAAAGTGCCACTTAGGAACTATCTTAGGCCCTATGGGCCATTGGGTCTCTGCTGGGCTACTCAGCTCTGCTCTTGGAACAGGAAAGTAAAGCAGAAATGAATGGTTTTTGTATAAAAACTTCATTAGAGAGATGCTGAAATTTGAATATCTCATAAATTTCACATCACAAAACATTATTTTTTCAGCTATTTAGAAATGTAAAGCCATCCTTAATTTGCCAGCCGCAAAAATGGGCGTGGGCCAGCTCTAGGTCACTTCTGGGAAAATGTACAAACCAACCAAATGGCACTACAGCAATAAAGTCTGGGATGGATGTTGGCAGCCAATCTTTTTCTGCAGTTAATTCAAAAGAGACACATCACAATGATGATAATATCTAACATATAGCTATTTTTCCATCTCAGAAACTATTCTAAGTGCATTAAAATAACTCATTTATTCCCAAAGCAATCCTAACATATTATCATTTCTCCTACAAAAGTAAACTGAGGCATCGAGAGGTTGTGTGGCCTGCTCCATGCTGGAATTGGAGCCTATGCCATGTCACTTCTACCAGAAATAAACAGGCAGCACAGAACATTTAGGACCCCTACAAAATACAAAACAGATAGCTGTGCACCCTGCTAAAACATCGACAGTAAGATAGACAACATTTGCTTACATAGCATTATTTGTTTACTGGGTAGAGGATTATTAGCTGTTTGAAAAAATAAACTCAGGCTTTTCCTATAAATGTGTCCCTAATGTAAAATGTAGCTGACAGTTGAAAATTTTACAAAAACATTTTTAACTTCTTTCTGAAGGATTAGTGACAACATACATATTCATTTAAAAATGACAGAAAACAGAAAAAATACATTATAATTAAAAATATACTTAAATGCACATTGACAGGAGTCACTGCTGAAACATAATGTAAAATATCTTCATGTACATAAAAACTACTGAACTAAAGTGACATATTTCCCTATGTACAAGTATGGGTTCCACACGCACATCAAACACCACAGGCTGTGTTTTGTAGTGCACTCACATACACACATAAGCCCTACATACTACAGGACTCTCCATGTGTTTAATGATGTTGTCTGATTATTCAATTTATTTGTACTTTTCAAAACCTTAGTATATCTAGACAGTTGTAGTTTTCTTTAAAAAAACAACAAAAACACACACCTTACAGTCAAATCTATGTAACATGACTTCTGGTATCACTATTTCCCTCAGAATAGATTCTCTTTGAATTTTCTTTTAAAAGCTTTCATATATTTAAAGGTTCTATCCCAGTATCAATAATCTGACATTTGCTGAAACATCTGATGGAAGTTTCTGTATCTGTTCCCATCTTTGCAGTCAGCCCCTCTGTGTTCTGAGTGTAACTGGGGTAAAAAGACTTCTGAATGATCAGGATACTGACAGAGTCTCTCACCTGAGCTTTTGGATGTCTGGTGATGGCTGCCCTGCCAGAAAATTTCCTGACATTCATTTTACTTACAGGACTTCTCTCCTGTGTGATTCCTATGTTGTACAATAAAGTCTGACTTCTCAAAGGTTTTCTCATGTTTCATGATTTGCAGTGTTTCTGCCATCTATGTTGTCTGATATTTAGTCAAGTCTGAGATATGGTAAAAATTTCACTCATAGAATTTCTCTCTGTATTTCCTCTCTGTGAAGGATTGTTGCTAAAGTTCCCCATATTGATGGTATTCCTAAGATTTTTGTCTTGTGTAAATTATCTCATTATTCTGAATGGTGCATTCAGACAGAAGTTCCAAATTCATACTATTTATTTGCTCTTTCTCGCTCTGTGTGTCTTTTGATGTGCAGTGAGTTCTGACTTCTGGATAAAAGATTTCTTACAATCTTGACATTCATAAGGTTTCTCCCCTGTGTGTTTTCTCTGGTGTATGATAAAATGTGACTTCTGAGAAAATAACTTCCCACATTCCTTACATTCATAAGGTTTCTCTCCAGTGTGAGTTCTTTGATGTAACCGCAGGACTGAATTCACAGAGAAAGATTTACCACACTCATGACATTTGTAGGGCTTCTCCCCTGTGTGTTTTCTTTCATGTTTAGTAAGGTCAGATTTATAGTAAAAGTGTTTTCCACATTTATTACACTCAAAGGGTTTCTCTCCTGTGTGAGTTCGCTGATGTACTGTGAGGGCTGACTTCTGGTAGAAGCATTTCCCACATTCAGTACATTTATAGGGTTTCTCCCCAGTGTGAGTTCTCTGATGAGTTTTGAGGTGTGAGTTTCTAGAGAAGAATTTCCCACATTCCTTACATTTATAAGGCTTTTCCCCCGTGTGTGTTCTTTGATGTACTGTAAGGTGTGATTTCTGGGAAAAATATTTCCCGCATTCCTTACACTCATATGGTTTCTCCCCCGTGTGTGTTTTCTGATGTACCATTAGGTATGCCTTAACATAGAAGAACTTCCCACATTCAGTACATTCGTAGGGTTTCTCTCCTGTGTGTGTTTTCTTATGTTCCGTGAGGTGTGGCTTCTGGTAGAAGGACTTCCCACACTGATCACATTCATAGGGTTTCTCCCCTGCATGAGTTCTCAGATGTCTACTGAGAGATGACAGGTGGTAGAAAGTTTTCTTACATTCTTGACATTCATAAGCTTTCTCTCTAGTGTGAGTCTTCTGATGTCTTGTGAGGTCTCCATTCCCGGGGACAGATTTCCCATCTTCACTGGGTTTGTCCTTCGAATGAGTATTCTGATGTACTGTAAGGATAGACTTCTGGTAGAAGGACTTCCCACATTCATTGCATGTATAGGTTTTCTCTTTGGTATGAGTCTTCTGATGTGTGGGTTCTCCAGTCCTGGAGAAAAAAATTTCAAATTCATTAATGTATAAGGCTTTTTTATTTGACTGCTGTGTGTATTTTACAGCTGTGTGGTGTGGTAGATAGCCATGAACAGAGCAAGGACAATGGGCCAGGGACAGAAGGTCACGAGGGCAGAAAGCCTCAGAGTCCCAGCAATGGGAAAAACTGGGAAAAGAAGTACCTCACCCACAGTGTAACCTTTCCTACCCTAGCATATCACTTCCTGCTCATGTGATTTAAACCTCTTGACCTTTCATTTCTGGTTGTAGGGTCCAGACGTTCTCCAGACCTTTCATATCACTTGTCATGTGATTTGGACCCTCCTCTGACCTTTCCTCTTTAGCATGTTGCTAGTCTTGGGATAGACCCCCTTAGAGGAGGAACAAGGGGCCAAAGAGTGGCCTCATGCAACTCCCATGTGGGCCCTTGCATGATCATTCCCTTAGGCATCAATCCCTAGGGATAACATCTAGGCCTCAGTTGTGTTTTAGCCTGAGACTCACAAAAGAAACAAAACCAGACAAATGATGGCTGACCTCAGGACCTGCAATGACTAATGAGCCTCTGCCTTGGTGCCAACCAATGAGTAGAGACCATGAGCCTCAAAGGACACACCTGGAAAGCTGATGAATGTTCTATTGGGATCCTCCCCTGAGACCTCCAGATAAAGAACCTCAAGATTTAGGTTGGCTCACCCTCTTGGGAGCACATCTGAGCCTTTCCCCTCATCCTCTTCTTCCCACCAGGTGCATTACTTTGACCTTTCTCTCTCCTAAGTTCCAAGGGCCCTTGTTTTGCTCCTGTAACGTGTTTAACTTGTTTCCTGAGCCCATTTATTCCTCAGCTCACTTCTACCTCTGTGACTTTCTAGGTACACTTTCTCTTACAGTGTGAGTCTCGGATCTGAATTCTTTCTTAGTCAGAACTCAAGTACTGAGGTTGCTGAACCAAGGTCTGGTCTGACTTCAGTCTAACACTTGATGCCATTCTCGCCACCAACATAAGAACCAATTTCTATGAATTTCCCATATTAATTAGATTCATAGGGTTTCTCCACTGTGAATGCTCTCTGACATACACTGTGGTTTAATGTTTGGTAGGAGAACCTTCACTTGCACTATATTCATTCATAGGCTCTCTCTACTTAACTCTACTTTATATCATAAAGCCTCCCTGATTGTGTAACTCTGAAGAATCAGAAGACTGCTTCAATAATTGAGCCCCCTGATCTTGAATAAGGCCTCCATTATGAAAAAGGGCTTTCCCATTTGCATTTTGTTCTTTGCAATTTGCTCCAATGTTAGTTTTCTCACATGTAGTATTAACTAGTACTCTCCCACTTCCAGTACCCTCGTCAAGACCCTTTCTTACAAAACTTCTAATTTTAAAACTGAATTCTTGAACTTGCCTTGACTTTTCAGCTTGGCTTTCCTGGTGTCTTTCTTCTGATTCATGAATCTTCCATAGATCTACAAAAAAATTCAATATTTAATACCATATACATCTTAAACAATAGTATGGTCATAGGGTTGGGTTGATTCTTAGACTTCAAGTCAATCTCTTCAAATGAAGGAACTCTCAAATGCAAACTTCCTCTATTTCATTGTTTTATAAAAAATAATAAACACTAAAAACTGCTATAGAAGAAAGGGGAGGAATGTGGTTATAAACCCAAGGACCACTGACACTTTACAAATAATGACCTTAAAAACTTGGAGGATGCCCTAGCCCAGTGGTCGGCAAACTGCGGCTCTCGAGCCACATGCAGCTCTTTGGCCCCTTGAGTGTGGCATTTGTAGGGGAAACATACAAGTTATTTGATAGGGACTCTGCAAGGTTAACTTGGATACACGTGAAATAAGATTCTATTTATGAAAGATACTTCAGCGAGTAAATGAAGTAATGATTAGCATGTGTTCGGAGAGTCACAAGGAAAAACAAGATGTAGTAGGCTAGACTAGTTCCTGACAGAATATTAATTTAACTGTGTTTTGTAATCATGAGTCAGTGTAAATTTACCATGATAGACTAGTAGCAATATAACTTTGCAGCATTATACAACTACTATGAGGATTTAAATTAAAAATTAGCTTTTAACACTGATAAAGAAGGAATTTAGATAAGTGGATCTATCCTATAGGATGGTAAAATATGGTACCAAAATATAAATAAAATAAAGGTGCTGGAAACATCAATTTTAGGAGTTCACAGCCTAAAAAACAAGGCTTTGGTCTAGAAAAGTTAAGCCTGGCAGAAGTTACTACACAGGGCAGACGATAGAGTGTGTCTTTTGTTAACTGAAACTGAATCTTTCAAAAAATATCTAGTGAACAAATTAACATATGCCAGGCATGGCTTCTGCACATGAATGCACAAGTCAGAAAATACATGAAAAATATTGAAGGAACCAAAGTGAGATTATTTGTTTGTTTTATTTTTTTATCTTAGTGTTATTTTAGGAAGCATAATCAGTACTTTGGGTAAAAGACAAACACCATCTACATGGAAGTATCATCTTTGAAATAATAAAACTGATGAAAGGCATAGTGATTTGTAATCTAGTTTCAGAGTTTAAAGAGAGAATAGGAAATTAAAATTGGTGCAGAAACTAACGAAGGCATTTGTGTTAATAAAAGGAGGGAAATGGCATTTGAAAAAAATGTATAAGCCAGAGTCATAAACACTTTAGGATTGATTATAGCTGCATACTTCAATGGCAGGAGTAATTGAATTCTAGAAAAAAAATGTTTAAGTCAAGGTTAGTGTATAGGAAAGATAGATAAACGTATAAAAATGTTGAACGAGGGGGGGGGGAATTTCAGTGGAGAGAATGAAAATTGGAGGTGTGATTTATGTTGCTTACATATGCTGATCAAGCATCCTCATTCATTTCCAGACATCTAGGGCACTTAAAAAATATTCCTGAAAAATATTTCAAAAGGCCAAAGGCACCAACAACCTCACAACTAATCACCAGGGCTCTGACTTCTCACTCACCAGTGTAGTTCTGACGTGGAAACTCTACTTCTAATATCCATGGCTCCTTTCCTTGCTTCAACTTCAAAACTGCATTTGACTTATTCACAAAATAACCTATTAATGGAAAAGATAAAGAAAACAGAACTTGCTTGGAATTTAGGGACTCTGAAGAACCGAAAGTAGTTTTCGGAGCAGAACAATGAAGGTCCTCCTAGGCTTGGTAAGTTTAGATTTTTTTCAATTGGGAGGGTGGAGACACAAATATTTTTTCTGGTACCCAAAATGGATTCATGAAAAAAATTAGTATTATTCAAACCTAAAGATACCTTACATGTTCCACAACTGGGAAAGAAAATGCAAACTACTAGAAGTCACTGAGGGGGGAGTTTTTCTCACCCACTGAGACGAGGTGACGGTAGTTCTCCTGCATCACTTCCTTGTACAGGGCCCTCTGAGCTTCGTCCAGTAATTGCCACTCCTCCTTGGTGAATTCCACAATGACATCCTTGAACGTCACTGATCCCTGTAACAACATATTTCAGTTCTATTCTGCAGTTATCAGAATAGAGTAGCATTGAAAAGGCATGTAAACTAGCTCTTAATGTGCTAACTGTAGAATTTACCCTGGAAAGTTAAGATACACCGCTACTCTGTACCCTGCTTTACACACAGACAAAGTATTTGTTCAATATATATTTACTGAGATATCACTGGAAGCCTGGATCTCTGCTGGGGATAAAATGATGAATGAAAATAACTATTTCTGTTATCAAGGAGCTTACATTCTGGCAGGGAGACAAAGATGTAAATTCTTCTTTTTTTTTTTTAAACCCTCACCCAAGGACACTTTTCCATTGATATTCAGAGAGAGTGGAAGAGAGGGAAAGACTAAGAGAAACATCAATGTGAGAGAGAGACACATCGATAGGTTGCTTCCTGCATGAGCCCCGACCAGGGCCCAGACCAGGGAAGAGCCTGCAACCAAGGTACGTGCCCTTGACCAGAATCGAACCCAGGACCCTTCAGTACGCAGGCCAATGCTCTATCCTCTGAGCCAACTGGCTAGGGCAAGATGTAAATTCTTAACATGCAATATGCACAGCAGGTGCTATGACAGAAGAGTATACAAGATGTAAGATGGTCACAAATAGGGATAGTTGTTTTGTATTATTAAGTTAGATTTTATTAGGTGGTTCAAGTGACTATGCAAACTTCAGGAATTAAAAAAACAGAACTGGCAAAGGCCCAGATGCATCAAAAATGGCAAATTTAGGAAACTACAAATAAGAAAGTATAATATGAGAACATAGTGTAGGACCAAAATTAGTTATGTGATAGTCAAGTCAGGTTACAAAACATGGAGTAATTCTGAATTTGACTTTTGGGACATTAAGTGGGTATTTTGCATACCCACTTAATGTCTTATACATCATATATTTACATCTATTAGTTTGTTTACTAAAGTTGACAAGTTTTCTTTTTTGTATTTATATGAAAGAAAAGTATTGCCCTACCGGATTTGGCTCAGTGGATAGAGCCTCGGCCTGTGGACTGAAGAGTCCTGGGTTTGATTCCAGTCAAGGGCATATGCTCAGATTGTGGGCTCCATCCCCAGTTTGGGTTGTGCAAGGGGCAGCTGATCAATGATTCTCTCTCATCACTGATGTTCCTAACTCTCTCTCCCTCTCCCTTCCCCTCTGAAATCAATAAAACATATCTAAAAAATAAAAAAATTAAAGCATGTGCAATTAAAAATATGAATCAATATTCTGCTATTTCACACTATGTGGACTGTCTTATACATTTTTGGAATGTTCACTCTTTTGCTTTGTAGATGCAAATACAGATAATGGGGAACCACTGAAGAGAGAGATGTAACCACTAGAGTTATATATTAGTAGTTTAGAATAAAACTAAAATAGAAGAGGCAAATGGCACATCAGAAAGATGGAGTGTTAGAAAATTTAGAGACACATGTAAGCAATAAACATTTACATTCAAGTAGCAGCACTGGGGGAAAGAAGCATAATGCATCTTTGTAATTAATTGGAAATTAATAATGACTGGGAGAGAGTGGGAGGGTAACTCATATAGTGTCTATATGGTTTGGTAATGGCTAGAGCCATAATGCTAATTATTTTCATTCTTGGGTTTTTACTGATAGAACTATTTAAGGCTATACAACTTCCTCTGATAATTGCTTTATTTATATTCTAGAATCTGAAATGTAGTATTTTTTAAAATATATTTTAATTGAGTTCAGAGAGGAAATGAGTGGGAGAGATAGAAATATCAATGGTGAGAAAGAATCATTGATTGGCTGCCTCCTGCACACCTCCAATGGGATCAAGCCTGCAACCTGGGGCAGGTGCCTTGACCAGGAATTGAACCATGACCTCCTGCTTCATAGGTCAACACTCAACCACTGAGCCATGCCAGTTGGGCTAAATATTTTTTAAAGAACTAATAAATAAAATCAAAACGCAATGTTTTCTACAAACTTATAACATCCTACATATTCTAGCTCCTTTTACCTCTTTGATTTTACCTCTTACCTTGCTTCCTCTAAATAACTTCTCTCTATGTCCCCATTATCTGCTTCAATGTCCCAAATACTGTTTCTGAAACATGCCTCGGGGCATTTGTACTTGCTATTGCTCCTATTTAGAATGCTCTTCTGCCATATTTCTTCTTGGCTCGATGGCTCATTTAATTCAGAACATTCCTCAAATATTTCTTTTTAGAGTGGGCATTCCCTAACCAACTTACTCCCTGGTCCTCACTTCACTGCATCCCTCTGTCCTCTTAAACTGCTTGAGTTTGCCTCTGAGTTCAAGTCAGAAATACCAGTCAAATGTTGATTGATATAATCAATCATTATATAATACTAGAGGCCCGGTGCACAAAAATTTGTGCACTCGGCGTGGGGGGGGGTGTCCCCCAGCCCGGCCTGTGCCCTCTCACAGTCTGGGACCCCTCGGGAGATAACAACCTGCTGGCTTAGGCCTGCTCCTGGGTGGCAGAGGGCAGGCACAATCCCTAAGTGCAGCCCCTGGTCAGGCTCAGAGCAGGGCCGATTGGGGAGTTGGGGCGCCACCCCGTCATGCACAGAGCAGGGAGGATCGGGAGGTTGCAATGCCACCCTCAGGGTAGACTGATGGGGGGGTTGGGGCACCGCCCCCTGTTACACTCAAGGCAGGGTTGATGGGGAGGTTGCAGCGCCACCCCCTGTGATGCACAGAGCAGGGCCGATCAGGGGGGTTGGGGCGCTGCCCCCTGTCACGCTGATCCCAGTGCCGGGAGCCTCGCTGCTCCGCTGATCCCAGTGTTGAGAGCCTCATTGCTCTGCTGATCCCGGTGCCGGGAGGCATATTACCCTTTTACTATATAGAATAGAGGCCTGGTGCACGGGTAGGGGCTGGCTGGTTTGCCCTGAAGGGTGTCCTGGATCAGGGTGGGGGTCCCCACTGGGGTGCCTGGCCAGGCTGGCTGAGGGGCTGAGGGCTGTTTTCTCGCTGGCAGTTGACTAAAAGCTCCCAACCGCTCCTTGTTTTCTTTTTCTTTTTTTTATTCTGGGCCAGCTTTAGCTCTGAGGCTTTGCTGCTGAAAACATGGATACAGTGTTGCGGTCCGGGGCTGACTGAAAGCCGGTTTTGTTTAGCTTCTTATTTGCAACATAGTAATAGTTGCTTAGAGTTGCAGTTGAGAGTCCGGCAAATGAGGCGGGGAACGTTGGAGTCTGCAGTCCCTGGAGGAAGCAAGCCTCCCTGCTCGCTTCAGTGCATGGCTGCCGGCCGCCATCTTGGCTGACAGTTAACTTGCATAAGGATACACTGATTAGCCAATGGGAAGGGTAGCGGTCGTACGCCAATTACCATGTTTCTCTTTTATTAGTGTAGACTAGTGGCCCGGTGCACGAAATTCGTGCACATTAAAAGGGAATTAATTAGAGGTAATATTTTATTTATTTATTTAATTTTTTAAAGCATTTTTAAAATTATTTTATTTTTATTGATTTCAGAGAGGAAGGGAGAGGGAGAGAGAGAGATAGAAACATCAATGATGAGAGAGAATCATTGATTGGCTGCCTCTTGCACATCCCCTACTGGGGATCGAGCCTGCAACCCAGGCACATGCCCTTGACCAGAATCGAACCTGGAACCCTTCAGTCCACAGGCCGACGCTCTAAATATTTTAATATTGCTATTTGCCCTTTCTCTATAATAGAAGTGTCAGAGATGAAAGAAAATTAGTAAAACGTATATGAAAATCTCCCTCCTGTCAGAGTCTGGGGCACACCACAGGACCCAGAGTCAAGTCCCTGACCATCCACATGCACCCTGAAATCGCACGAGACCCAGACCCGGCCGGCCCCAACCCTGTCAAGCCACGCAGGGTGGGGGGCACAGCCTCAGGTCCCCCGGCCCCGGCACTGGGGCGGGGGGCGTGGCCTCAGGTCCCCCAGCCCCGGTGCGCGGGCATGAGAGCATGATGGCGTGATGACCATTTGCATATTAGCTCTTTATTATATAGGATACATTATTATATTACTAGAGGCCCAGCATGCACATGGCTCGCTTCCGCTTGCTTCAGCTGGCCGCCCTGCTCATCGCCGCTCATAGTTCGCACCCCGCCCTCCCCTGCTCCTAGCTCTCTGCCACTCTTAGCTCTCCGCTGCTCATAGCTCTCTGCCACTAGTAGCTCACTCCTCGCCCTGCCTGCCGCAAGAGCCGCTGCTCGTTTGGTCGTGATGGTGTTACGGGTGTTGACCACGGGCCTTTTATGATATAGATAGTAGGGGACCAGTGCCCAAATTCGTGCACCTTGAAAGGAACTGTGGGCTGTGAGGCTGTGGTGGGCACAGGGGCGGGTCTCAGCCTATCCTCTGTGCCCCTGCCCGGCCCCTCCCGCTGCAGCCCCTGGTCCCCTGTCTGCTGGCAGCAGGTGTGAGCAGGGGGAGGTGGAGAAGCCTTGAGGGGTGAACAAGGCCGGCTGGCAGTCTCCTCGCCCTGCCCCCTCAGTGCCTGGGAGGGGCAGCCCTGCCCCCCACCACTGCCGGTTGCTGTCTTTGGAGGACTGGGGCTGGGCCAGCACTGGCAGTGAGTGCGAGTGCTGGGCGGGACCGCAGCGTGCAGGGCCGATGCACGCCATGTTCCTAGTGCGCCACCTGGTGGTCAGTGCCCATCATAGCGAGCAGTAAAATTCCGGGTTGAGCGCCTGCCTAATGGGACAATTTGTATTAGGCTTTTATATATATTTTTATATTATATGTTGTATATAATATAAATGTATAATATCACATTTGTTAGTATCCTCACCAATCTCATCAGAAAAGTATTTAAGTATTAGAAGTTGTCAAGTTCATAGTGAAGGATACAAGTTTTCCAAAATTCTCATGTTCACTTAAAGCTTAAATTTCAACCTTGGGAACACAGAGAGACAGTTATTTTCAGTGACAGGCTCACTTCACTCATTTCTGAGAAAATGTTAAATACCCGTCTGAATAACCAGCCTGCCTGCCATTTGCTCTTCCAAGGAAAAACAGCATTCCATGAAAGAGTGGCCAGATGAGCTCACAAACCAAACAGCCCCTCGGTGCTTTATTTCCCTCAAGACAACCAACCATCACGGTTCAGGTGCAGCAGAAGTATTTTATGTGAACTTCCTATTTCGTCACACTGAATGCTAAAAAGATGTGTACCCAAGGGTCAAAATTTAATAAAACTGATTTTTACTATTTCATCAAAGATATCCTTAAGTAAATGGGAGCACACTGCAGAGGAATGCAGTGGCATTGGTGTCACTGTCCTAATTCATGCCAACCAGGCTGCAATCTCTTCACCACTGGTGCAAATGTCAACAGTGTAGATTGGGTTCTGCATCTTAATAATACATGCTGACCTCACAGATCTCTTGAAAAGGTCTTGGAAACTGCTGTGCTAGTCAAACAGTATTTTCCCTAAAGGTGATTTTTAACTATTTACCTTTTAAATTTAATAAAAGGACCCTATTTCATAAAACTCATTGAACACACACACAGTGAAACAAAGTAAGGGCTTAGTAAATGACTCACCTGGAATTTGCTCATTTTCGGCTGCTTTGGGGAAAGGATAGAAACTATGCAGCCAGAACAAGGAATGTTGTAAGACAGAAGTCATGAGACTTGATCTTGCAGCTCCGGGAATCACCTGTCAGAGTTTCCAGACAACAGTTTAGTAAAAGGAAAACATTCTTTGGAAACATGAGAAGAAATAGGAAGGGCCGTGATAAAGGAGTACCCATCTGTCCCCTGGTGACTCTGAAATCAATCTTGATAACCTTGGGACATTTTTGAGTGAATTTAAACATTTCTTTCCTAGTGACTGTTTTGAAAATTATGTGTCTATTTACTAAATACCACAAAAGAATTGAAAACATAAACATCCAATAATAGATTAGCTAAGCAAGGTGTGTAATATATGTCCAAAGTATGGACCCCTGTGTTGGTGTTATAAATGATGAAGATAAATATTTATTGATATGGAAAGTGTTTAAATTACAGGTCATGACAATTTTTCCTATTACTACTATAAGCCCCACAAGTTTAGAAAGCCTTCAAAAGGTCTCAAAAATAAGATGTTTCTTCTCCCTAAATTGCAGTTTCTCAAAAATCACTTCTCCAAGAACCTTGTGTTGACTTCATTATAGTGGATCTGGGGTCTTATGGGCCATGCAAGGCTCTGCTATGAACAACCTAGAGACTGTCTTATTTTCAATGCTATTATCTTTAACACGAAGAAGAATTAGATAATGTTGAACAACCCTTCATGTACTGTTCTGATTCTGTAAGTCTTGACCCAGTGCCACAAATCCAGACAGCACCATGAAATTCACTGTCCCCTCCAAACTTGGGCTGGGCCTGAGGAAATTTAATTAGGCCTTAACGAATTCTGACATGGCCATCTAAAGTGTTGACAACGACACACATCTAACTTCTAAAATAACAATTTGGTACCATCATCCCCAAAGAGGCACTTTGCTAGGCAGCAAAAGGTAACCAGACGCCTCACGCTGAGATCTTTCCCATGTGCAGCAGGAACCCCTTCCCGCTGGCCGGGTGCTTGCAGTGGTTCTCAACCTTCCTAATGCCGCGACCCTTTAATACAGTTCCTCATGTTGTGGTGACCCCCAACCAGTTACTTCATAACTGTAATTTTGCTACTGTTATGAATCATAATGTAATGTAAATATTTGATATGCAGGATGTATTTTCAGGGTCGCGACCCACAGGTTGAGAACCGCTGCAAGAGGATGCTCCATGAGCCAGACGCACCAGCCAATGACAGGCATATGACATCACTTCCATAGCATGGAGCCTGGATGAAACCGCAGTTTTCATTTTTTAACAATGTCTGTCTCCCTTCCCCTCCTGACTGGGTAGGATTTGCAGCTTCTCCCATAAAACTTAAAAGTCAGAGCTTCCGTTATGGTTTCAACGTACATGTTTACCAGTTTGGGGAGAATAGGGACAGGTAGGAGAACGCAGCTACAACATTTGGCACAAGAATTCTGAGGAAGCCTCCACAAGTGCTGGGAATAGAACACTAGGAGGTAAGGTTAGTTAGCTTGTCCTAATCCACCGCCCGCTAATTATGTGCTGGGACAACTGCTGTGCTCAATGCAAATGTTAGTGCGGGGAACAGCAGGGGCCACAGAGTAAAACAAAGGAGAATGTAAAGCCCGTGGGCCAACGCCGGGTAAACAACGGCGCTCTGAACCGTTACCCCTGGGATTTATTGAAATGGAGGTGATTGATACGGATGGAAAGGATGGTTATGAGGATTAAGAGGATCAGATGAGCCAACAATGAAAAGAACAGCACACGCTGTGATAACAAAAGCAGCCCGTCTGTACGAGTCACCACGCTCTAAGTATTGTACCCTCTTCAACACGGAAAACGCCGAAAGTTGTACCGTCAGTTCACAGACGCGCATCTGAATCGTCCCGGGATGAACTTGCCCGTGGACCGCGGGCGCTGGGCTGGGGCC